AGGATACGGCCTGGCCGGCAATGTAGTATGTATGACAACAATGCCCTGGCACTTGACTTGGGCTGTCATTCAAAGTGACAGGCAACCCCCACCTCAACCCGTGACCCAACCACACATGGGCCACAAAATGTGCAACGCTGAGGTCCTGAGTTCAATCGACACTCGAAAGTCTATTTTCACAATTTCCATGTTTATTCAGCCACGCACGGTGCCCCTGCACAGAATGTGTATATGTATGTATATGTGTGTAGCTGCATGTATGTACATAATTGTATATTGTATCTTGTAGTTTGCTTAGCGTCAAGTGCAAGGTAAATACGAGATATTTTACGCAAATTTACCAAGTGTTTACCCAAGGGATGTGAGCCGAGGGTGTGGCTCAGCTCGACTGAGCACGGCTCAGCGCAATGGTATTTATTGTAATTTGCATTTTAACGCTCAAATGCGTTTTTTGCACAATTCACCTGAATTAATCATGGATTTGGCATGCACAGTGTGACCAGAGGCTGACTGAAGGTGGGTCATTGAAGGAGCTGAAATGAACTAGATAGAAATTTAACTGCCGAAAGTATATAAATTTGAAATTTGCTTATAATTTATATTAATCATGGATTTTGCTTACGCAATGTTATCAAGGGGTACAAGAGAGTTTTCTAAGATATTATCATCATAAAGAGGACATGTCTGCAAGGGTATAAAATCTTGGGCGTGCCGAAGATATCCGTACTTTCTCGCTAGCCATAAAATGAAATAGCTGCTGTAAGCTATCTTTTTGGACTTCAGCTGAACTGATATAGTAAAATATAAAAATGTATATTATTTAATTAAAAATAGCTCAGCTGGGTTTCTTTTTTCAAATACTTGGTCACTCATGGAATACATTGAATATTGTTTGAATAATTGTGAATGCACGAAGCAACGAATTTATTTGATTTGTTGGTTTAGTTTGCTTAAGGGTTTTGCCATTACACGTGCAACGTGTGAGGAATGCAATTTATTGTTTACATTGCAAAGGAAAATCCCATTTCTGGAGCTCTTAAGGCTTGGCAACGAATACAAAGTAAAACTTAAAGCTGTGTGTTGTGTGTTTGGGGGCTGAAGGCTGTTAATTAAATTCATTTTGAGGCAGGGTAAGGTTGGTTGTGGGCTGGCTTTGTCTCAATTTGCACGCAAATTGACCAAAGCATTTTTTTAAATAAATTAATATATCAATATACAAAGTGTATTGAGTGCATTTTCAATCAAATTGAACAGAGATCTCCCGCTGTGCCCTGCCAGACGCAACAAGCAGCTACAAATTGACATGTTTCGAGGCGCCATATCGTATGTACAAGCGAGATCCTATATATATAATATCGAATGTAAAAAGAAAATTCTCAAACGAAAATCAGTTAAAACGTGTACCGCATAATGGTCGAGGGGCGGACATGAGAAGGAGAAGGAGCCGCTGCCAGCCTTTTCAATGAACTCACGGCGCGTCGAGTTGTTGTTGTTGTTGTTGTCGTTGTCGCATGCAACAAATTGTTTCAATTAACTAAATTAAATTTACACTCCTGCAGCTTCACGCACAACAACAATAACAACAACAACAACACCAACAATACATTGGACATATTGAATGCATTTTGCTGAACGTGACATGACACTGACAGATAGAAAAAGAAGAGCTGAAGCGGAGCTGTGCAAATGTCCCACACCGAAAATGAAATCCGAGATACTCTGGAGGCAAATGAAAATGGCAAACATGTTGTTGCATTCGAAAAATGCCACGAAGCATATACGGAAAATACATCCATGACATGGAAATTTATAAAAATTAACTGCCAAGTATATATACAAATGAGGTGGAGGAGACGAGTATATGCACTGAGAGAAATAAAAGCAAGCGGAAAGTATAAATGAAATGCGCATAAATATATTTGATAATTATTTATGGGAAATAAAATGTTGAAAATAATGAAAGATATAAGTTATAAATATACGAATGCAATTCGTGGAATATTAAAAAAGTTATTTGTTGCAGGGAAATTATAATAAAATCGTGCCATAAAAATAAATAATATATTGCATGAACAAATAAGTACTGCAATATTTCTTAAATGAAAATGAAAAAAAAAATACAAATTAATAATATTTATTATAGTAAATAACGGCTCAAGAAGTGTACTTAAATATTTATAAAATAAAAAAAAAAAATAAAACAAATAACATAAAGCGAATTGTGAAACACGTCTGGAATTTCTGGAATTTTGCGTAAAGGTCTACCAAATCTTCGACCCACATCTTGATTAGATTGGGGCTGATCAACTAAACTGGTGAACTTAAAATTTTTATACAAACGTTTTTCACATGAGTTTACTATAGTAAGCATTTCAGGTGCCTCGTAAGCCTTGGGCTGGTTTATATTTATGGTCTAAATATGGACTGAAATTTCTCCCAGTGCACGCGGTACAATGTATCGACACGGCAACATTGTTCGTCAATATCAATTATGCGTTCAAATGAATATTGAAGTGTAGCCGCATGCCAGCCCATTTCAATGTGCGCCCACACCACAGCAACAACAACAGGCTTTCAGCCGAAAACAACACCACAAAGCCACCGCGTTGCCATCAACCGAGCAACCACCCACACACAGTCCGGCAGGCACTCGGATGGCTGTTGGTCTGGGCAGTGGCAACAGGACAGCTCATCAGATGCAGCAACAGCAGCAGCAGCAGCGGGCAGCAGCAGAGCTGGCGAAAAATTGGCAATTGTACAAAAGTGTTAACACGGCGCCGCATCCTGCAGGCTGACCACAGAACAGGCTGGCCGAGCCGCCAGCCCGGCAGCCGCCTTGGACACATCCATCAATGCCAACAGATTTAATCGCCATTTAAATTGTACGAGTTCGAGTTTTCGGAGTTGGGCGTGTGTGTGTGTGTGTGTGTGTTCCGTGTGCTGCATTTACTTAAGCGTGTTATCAGCGTAAAATAAATCTCTATAGAATGGTCAGACAGCTGTCGGAGCGACCAGACCGACCGACCGACCGCCCGCCCGCCCGCTCGACTAGCCTATCTGTTTAGTGTTTTCCAATCAAAGCCCCGGGGCCAGCAGATTGGTCACGTGTCGCCTGGTGGCCAGTGGCTAGTGGTCAGCGGCGAGTGTGACGTGCGTCACATAATTGCAATAAATTAGAAATTGTCACAGGCCGGCAACAATGTTGTCCCCACCCCCTGCATGCCATTCCCTTGCCACGGCTCAGTTAAATCTGTGTTTGTTTTTGGTTCTTGCTCTACATAAATTTACATTTGCGCATGGCTAAATTCTGGTTAAGCTTACCTGGCGAACATGGCTCAAATTAATAATTGAGCTTGGAGCAGCAGGCCATGTCGTTGATCGGCCAGAAATTAATGTAGCATGGTCCAGGAAGCGCACACAATTAAGACGCAGCGCGACAGATAAATTAATTCGAAATGCAAGCAGGACTCTGAAGGAAGTTATAAAAATCAAATTTTACGATTTTCCTGGAAATGCACGCGGCTGGAAATTATTTGAATAGACAAGACAATGCGCATAACTTTCGGCTTAACTGATTTTCAGTTGTATGTATGTTGTGTGCCACGCCTCTACGCCCCACAAAGAAACAGGATGCGCATACAATTGAGGCGCGGCCATAACAGTAAAAACCAATTGCCAATCATTAGTTTTTATAACACAAGACATTTTTCGTTGACTTTCGATTCCTGCGCCTTGTACATTTTACTATTTTCCTTTTCTTTTTTTTTTTGCGTATCGCAGCCTGCCTGGCTTGGCTTTCGGCCCAGTGGAAATTCATTTTCACTTGTCCCAGGGCGACATAAAAGCGAGCCCAAGTCAATCACAGCGCTGAAATTTGGTCAAAACGGAAATGTGTCGCATTCGCAACGTAATTGTGGGTGGACACGGCACAAAATTGGATGTCGAAAAGTTATGTTGCCCTAGGAGTTGCCCCTGTCCATGAGGGTGCTCCAGTTATCCAGTAACTGCGTCATTTATTTTCTGGTTTTGTACAAGGATTCCAATTCAACAAATGTTTTCGATTACTCAGTGAACAATTTGAGCAAATGCCCTTCTTTTGGGTACCAGATTTTCACATCTGTAAATCCATGTAAATCGATAGGTTCTTCCAATAGAACTTCGATACGAACTTCCGCATAGGATTTGCCCATACTTAAGCAGCATAGTTTAAAAAGTATATCCTACGTTTGGTCAAAATATCAAAATATCTAACCAAATTATAAGCCGATTGGTCTTGTGGTATCTAAAATATGTATGATATATTGGTCCGATATTGATAAGGCCGATGTTGATAAGAACTTACAAAGCTTAAAGAAGATAACTTAAAAACTGAGAGACTATTTCGCATAGAAACAGACGGATCAGCTCGGCTATTGATGCTGATCTAAAATATATATACTATATAGGGTCGGAAGGTGACATCTTCTATACGTTACATATTTCATGACAAAAGGATATAATGAGGTTCTGTTCAGTTCGATTAATTAATTCGGTTAGAGATTCGATTAATGGCTTATAATAAATAGTTGAAGTTCCTGGTTCGGTTCAAGCCCGGGCTGCAATCTTAATTTGCATAATGTCCTGCTTTATATGTTGATTAAAATTAGCTAAGTTATTCCTAACAATTTCCAGTTAGTCTTAATGTCTGCAGTTTTAAATTTTATGAAAATTAATGAATAGGTAGGGAATATAAATTAAATTTTTGTACAAAATTTAATGTACCACTATTTAAATTTGAAAATCATTTAAACATGAAATTTAAATTTAAACTTTTGTCAAAGTTAAAGATCAGCTTTCCTTATTGCGATTACTCGCACGCGATAGTATCGATAAGAATCTTACCTACGTATTGCACGTTCCAATTGGGAACTTCTTACTTACACACGTGAGCTGACCCGCAAGCTCGATGGGAATGTAATTTGGATATAAACAAAAGAATATCAATTAAACTTTGTATGAAAATGGAAATTTGCCGTGCTTGCATGAGCGACTCAGTAACCCTGGTGGACATATTTTGCGATCGGCCATTACCCGATTATGAATTCAGCCTGGCGGAGATGCTAAACGAGATCGTGGACTTTAAGGTGAAGCGCGATGATAAGTTGCCGCAGAAGATATGCGTATCTTGTGGCCTGAATGCCCAAATCGCGTTTAGATTCAGGCGCAGATTCGAGCAAAGCCATCGACTGCTCTGCATGAAGGCTATGGAAGACGAGCACATTTTCGTCCATGTGCTGGAAGCAGATTCGAGCGCCAGCCAGGTGAAGCAGAAGCCGCAGTACTCAATGCCGGCGATCAACGAGAAATCCAACTCTAAGCTGGGAAATGCTTGTAAATTACGCAATGGAAGACTTCTCAGCAGCGAGGAGCTCATCACCATCAGTAGCAGAAGTGCATCGCGTGAAAAAGACAGCAATGTCATAGTAGCTATGCTGGACATAGACTCTTTCAACGGAATGGATCAGGCGGAACGCTCATCCCCTATAGTGGATAATGTTGTCGCTTGTAAACCTCATCGCTATCCGCTGCGCCATAAGATCTCCAACCAGAACGCGCCCAACTCTGTTGGGAAGCCTCCCGTGCCCCATCCCATGCGCAGCACGTTGCGTTCGTTCAAGTGTGATACGTGCAATCTATCGTTCGCCTCAAAAGAAAATCTAAGTAAACACAAGCTGCAGCATGCAGGCAAACGTCACTTTAAGTGTCTACATTGCATGAAGGCCTATCGCAAGAAATCAAAACTTCTGAGACATATACAGACGCACATTAAGGATCATCCGAACATGTGTCCACAGTGCTCGAAGCTCTTAAGATGCAAATCGGATCTACAGAAGCATCTCTACTCCCACAGCGAGGAGCGTCCGTTTATCTGTCCCCATTGCCAGTTGGCTTTCAAGAATCAATGGAATCATAAAAGACATGTGCTCAATCATTCTAAAAAGGAAATGTACAAGTGCTCCACTTGTGAAAAAAGTTTTTCCAACAAATGGAATTTGAAATCACATTCTCGTTTTCCTCACAGATGCTTGAGCAAATGAACATCACAAAACAAATAGATTAAGGACTCTTCTTTGAACCCATTTTTACAAATTATTAACTTTATAAAATGCATTTTTTAGTTTTAGGTATTTTGATTTTTATTAAGATTTTACAGTTAAAATTTGTATTATATATTCACTATAAAATTTTGTATTTAAATATTGTTAATTATTAATTATATATTAGAATTGATATATTGTATATAAAATAGGGCCGAAATTTAATTTTATTTTTTAATGCAAATGTAAACCAGTTGACATATGAACCAAAACGTGAAGTAAACCAAAATATAAATTTGTTGAGCAAAACTCAGCCCCACATCAAAAATAACTTGGGTTCCAACCTTTCGTTTAATTTAAGTAGTTTTGTTAGTTGCTAATTTTGAGTGGAGATCAAACTTAGCGCGTGACATCTTTATAAAAGACCTTTTATTATATATTTTTAGAAAAACGGGCTATTATAAATGAATAACTAAACTGTTTTATTAACATTTTGAAAACATATAAAGTCGAGTTCAGAAACCGAAACCCGGCAGGAAGTCTGCTCGAACAGTAAAAAGAAGAACCGATTTTCTAAAATAAATGCAAAATCCAAGCAATCATCCCAAAAATGTTCCCAAATTTGAATGTCAAAAATTTCTTATTCAAAATAATATTCTTGCAAAACTAAGGGTTTACATTTGAAAGTGTGTAAAAAAGGTTAATAGATATAAATTCATTAGCTTTAGGGAAACGTAAACTTTTTCGAGCAATGATTAAATCGCTAAGTGGGCCCCATATTGATCAGAAAATGAAGTGTATTGATCAGAAACCTAGTGTAATTAGTTGAGACTGATACAAATATATGTTATAAACAATTGTATGAACACTTTAGTTGAACAAAACATTAGAATATCCTAACAGTTATCAAATTATATAAATGACTATCAATCAAAATCGAGGCATAGACAAAATGAGATTTGCGGAACCACCAAGGCCTGGATATTATACATTTCGTCATGCTAGGCTGGCGGCCTGCGAGCACCCTTTTCGGCTAACGTGAGCTGGTCTGGTGTCACATGTCAATTTGTGGAAAACCCAACGGATTGGGGTATGTGCTGGAAGACAGCTTTCTTGACAGGCAGCGCTCCTGGCAATGGAGTGCAACGCCCAATGTGTTAAACCTATCCATTAATATTAATAGTCGTTTGCCGCGGTTAGCGTGGTGCGTGTTGTACGTGACTTTTTCGTAACCCTTTCCCAATCGAAATATATCTTTGGCAAGCTTCTTAGCGGCTGGTGGTAACCTTATCGTTTGATTTGTAGACATTTTATTGCTTTATTGATGCATTTTTATCAAAAGCGCAGCATATTGTTTGATGGATTGTTCGGCTCGTTGGGTCTGCCATTGCCCTACCTGAGGCTTACACCCGGGGGAAATCGTCAGCAATTTTATGCTGGTAGACCACCGCACAGCGCACGCAATTTGCCTTGGGAAAGTTTTCTTTTGTCAAAATTCTTGGTTTGATTGGCACTTGGGAGAAAGGGTGAGAAAACAAAACGAGAAGTTGTTTATGGGAAAGTCTAAACAGCGAAGGAGCGACGTCTTCAAAACACGCAAAGATATTTGAAAAATTATAACAAAAACAAATAGAACAGAGGTTGTAGAAAATAAAAAACATAAATTTATTATATTATGTAAACAAATAGAGCTGTGTATTGGCTAAAAAATATACTTTGAACTGCACTTAAATTTTATGTTTTTTTTTTCTTAAATATTCGAGACCATGTACAAATTATGCATAGTAAAATCCCCGAGTGAGCTATGTGGCTCAAGCCACTAATAAATTACTAATGCTCACCTCCCAACAAACTTTGCGCAAAATATTAAATTTTACGAGCTTAATTTGTGTGCGTGCTTAGCTTAAGGGTGAGCCTGATGCGACCCCAAAAATGTTGTTGCCCTGGACAACAGGAAGAGGAGCAGCTCCGCAAACAATGTCAATTACAGCGATTGAAAAGTGGCCAGAAAACTTGCTGTACTTGTGCAGATCGCATAAACCAATTTTATTGAAGCACAACCAAAAAGCCGACGACGCCATCGAACTAATCTCCTTAACAAGGCGAGTATTAGAGCAACTGGCAGACGTGTAGGTCCTTGTCCATGTTGGGTCTATTCATATTTCAAAAGGCAACTTTGCGCGGCTCGAAAATGGCATCATTAAAGTTTACGACGCTTGTGCGACGTAAAGCATGCCAAGCTGTTTTGTAATAAAGGGTATTTCGCCGACATTTCGACATGAATTTTGAAATGCCCGCCACTTGGTGTTGTGGCCATTGTTTTTTGGGGCAACCCAAAGCCCAGGACCAGACATGCAAAAGTGCTGAATGCAAAAGTCCCAGTCCCGAATTTGCGTGGCCATAGATCTTATGTGTATGCCTGGTGTAAAATCAACAAAAGTCATCAAAATACGCGCCAGCTTTAGTCGCCGCATTCCTGGCTGAAAACTTTGCATATTAAATGTCATTTGGTAAAGTGGAATTAAGGAAGCGCTCGCTACAGGAAATGCTGTCATGGCTCGGGAGCTGTCACAGCAAATTATGCTGAAATGCGTCTGTCAAGGATGTGCGGATGTGGATGCGGATGCGTGTGGGTTGCACATTTGCACATCATGGTGGGGGCATGCATTGAGCCATAAATGAAAACTAAACAAGATTTTCGCAAAGAGCGCATTGCTTGCTGCAAATTTTATGAGCTAATTTTAATGAAGTTGCTGAAAGATGCCAAAAATTTGATGAATGTCGACACGAAACAGACAAGTTTATAAATTATGCCAAAGAAGTTAAGACTACGCCAACAAGGAGCAAGAATTAAGAGATATATATGTATATATTAGCATGCATGCCAGATAGACAGACAGTCAACAAGTTATATGATTACAAATTCTCTAATTATATCTTTTTACTACCACTGCAAATACTAGCACTATCTACTATTCAGATACAAGAAGCTAGACAGAGAATTTACAAATTATCTAATTACAATATTCATACTTTCCTCAGCATCTATAATACTCTGAAAGTGAATACTATTCGGATTCAAGATGCTCGAGAGAACCTTTTACAATTTCTCTAATTGTATTACTAATACTAATAAAAACGACTAATAAAAGTTTACAAATGCTCTATACTATTAATACTTTCGCTATATATACCCTCGCCCTCGCAATGAATTAATCTCTGTAAATCATTCAGGATTTTGATACTTATTCTCAACTCAAAGAATGGACCTTTGTCACGGTTGTTATTGACCACACACCTTATAAGAACTAATTAGAGTCATCATTAGCGGCCACTTTGCAGTGCTGTGAGATTGTTTGGAAAACGTTCCAGATTTCATGCTCCATTAAATGAATCACTCCAAGTACAATTTCAATAACTGCAATAGAAAAAAGATCAGTTGGAATCTAATTAAATTAAAATTCAAAAAACTCCATTGTATATCTACCCAAGTAGCGAGATAAGCTGCCTACGCAGCAAACAGTTCCAAATGATGATGGGGAGAGCTCCCTGCTCAGTGATTGCTAATAGATTGGGCTCAAAATTGGGAATCGGCATCGGTTGCTTAGAAGCGTGACGATTTCCATTTGATGTTGAGCCGTGTCTAGAGAGTGTCAAATCAACATCATTATTCATTATCAAATAAATTATTGGGTTTGCGGTAGACCGATGCCGAATCACAGTTGGAGGGACACAACCGTACCGCATTTGGGATATACATACGTATAATTGAACTTTTCATAAGTGGATGGTTCTGTGAAGGGGGTTAATATGTTTTAACAAAGCAATCAATATCGAAGGGATAATTAAATAAAACTAATGATGCCACTGACAGTCTACGCGGGGTTAATGACGTACATCAGCTTGTATTAGAACTAAGGTTATGCTTTCTTATCGCTAAAATGAATAAGTATATCGCACACGTTACCAAGCCAAAGTTATGTTTCTAGTTTACAGATATAAAGTGATGTTATGTGCGATGCTCCTTGAGTTCAAAGTTCGTCACACACACACACACACACACACACACACGCGCGTACTCATGCACTTTCCGCTTGTTTCAGACAGGTTTTTATGTAGCGTAACTAAATGTTAATTTATAGCCAAATGCTCAACTTTCTCCGTTGGCCTTAAGGCCTTTTGCGTGAGTCCGCCCAGTTCAGGAATTAAAAACAAATTAACACGCTTCCAAAAAAATTTCGAGTGTCTTCGTGGGTGCGTCCGTCCCTCTGTTTGCCCGTGTGTGTGTGTGAGTGCGTGCGTGCATGTGTGTGTAGCCAAGTGAATTTTACAGCGCCATCAATGGCCAACTCGCAGTCTTTTATCTAATTGAGTTTATATTCTTTTGGCTTCGCATCGGCTGGTTTGTCTTAACGTTAATGCGCTCGTAAAACATGCGCAAAAATTGAAAGCAATAAAACGCCGTCGGGCAAACATTGAAAATTAAAATAAACACATTAAACGAGATGAGTTGCAGGCGATAACAAGTCTAGGCTGCTAAAATACACACATGCATTGCCCCAGCCACCAGCTGATCCGCGACACAATAAATCAAACGGAGCGTAAAGCTTGTTTTATACTTGAGCTTATAATTTACATGTTATATTACATATGCGCAAGTCCTGTAATGAACAAATTTTAATGGCTTCCGCGTGAAAATTGTGTTTAAACTTTTCATGAGTTTAGTTTTAAATATTAATTAAAGCTGTGCATCGATTTTACTTTGGGTCCGATAGCTATACATGTTAATAACATTTTCGATAGTTAAGCTTACAGAAAGTATCGATTTACTCGATCACTGCCAATAAGAGTGTCGCCGTATACATACAAGATTTGACAATCACAGCGAAACGTGGACAAGTTCGCGAAAGTTTTGTTTCATAGTGAAGTGTTAAGTGCCGAATTCGAATTGTGAAATATGCTAAAAATAAGCAAAAGTGCGTCTAATAAAACAGTTTCTAATTTAAAGGATCATTTTCTGAGCTCACCAGACGCCAATAAGCCGCGTTCCATACCAGTGCACGTGAGTATTTTATGCATTTTAACTTTGCCATTGTACTGATTCGACAAAACTGTTCGAGCGTCAAGAAAACATATGAAACTGCGAGAATTATGTAATATCAAGAAACACTTAGCTGTAAATGAAAAATTATATGCATGTTGACAACAGGACACGCAGCCACACAGGCAGCACTTGGACTCGGCCGGAAAACTAACACACATATGAGCAGGCCATAAATAAGCCCGCATGCAGGCATCAGGTGGCTACGCAATGATTGCAGGACAGCTAACAGACAGGCAGATGGGCCTGGGGTTGGAGGATGTGTCCCCTCGCCCGGATCGAGTAGTTTTCGCTTGGGTAGGTGGTAAAAAATGCGTACGCCCCCGCTCCACACAAACAAGCAGGGCCGTAGCGGGGGCGACGGCAACGCGGCAGTTGCTGTCAAGTCATAAAACAAAGTGCTGTTGTGTCTACAAATGATTTGGCTTATTCGTGCAGAACAAATCGTACGTCATTTGTTGGGCCACTAAAAAGTTAAAACGCTTCCCCTCCTCCTTCTACTCGCAGTCTGCCTGCGCGCACATACATACATATCTATCTGTGAACAATTGCGCAATTAATGTTGCTGCACAGCGAGAATTATGTGCGTGACAGCCCACAGACAAGACGACGTCACTGATAGAGCCATAAAAGGTTGGCTTCAATAACCAATTCCCTGGCTTCCGTGCTATTTTACGGCTTTACACATGTGCCATATTGCTGCCCCCTGCCCCCCCGCCCACAAAGTTTGGCCATGTCTGTTTATGAGCCGCACAGACAGCGCCTAAGTCGCTGCTGTCGTCATATCTGCTCCCTCCTGCTCCCGTTCGGTCGCAGCAGTCGTCATCGCTTTGCCAAATGAAATCATAAATTTATAATTAATTTGCATATGCATTTCTTCGCTTTTCACGAATTTACCATGCCAAATTGGCATCATGGCTCAATTTTAATGGGCCTGGCATATAGAAATTAAAATTAATTTACGAGCTTAAAACTAATGAGCGCTTTTGTAGGCGTAATGTGTGGCTCCCTGTTTGTCTCTAATATCATTAAAATTTTTGCATCAATTTACAGCATTTATGGGCATTTTATATTCATTTTTAGTGTGCTCCAAAATAGTTTTCATAAATAGTTTAAATGGGTGTGAGTAGAACCCAATACAATATGTTGGTATGTATTGCAATTATATAATCTGATGTTTTGTCACAAAGTGAAATCTTTTTGATCGCAGGACTCGCAGATAGACAGGTTCCTGTCATAAACAAAGGACAGTCGTTGCTTGTTTGGCCAAAAGTCAACAACAAAACGCGTCGACGGCGCAGCTCAAACTCAAGCTCAAGCACATTTATTGTTATTCATTAATTTTAATATTTGCACAACCTGCGTGCAATTTTGGAGCGGAATTGAATTGAATTTCGAGTGGCCAGCGCCGAGAAAGGGAGAGAGGAGAGAGCGGCAGCTAAACAGCTACTAAAATGCTACGTCTGGGCCGCACGATAAAGCCAGAAGCCAATGAAGCTAAGTGCGGTTATGAACCCTTTTCGCATTTGACTGAAACAACAAAAGGGCCAACAATGGGTGGCAAATGGAATTGGAGTTGCACAAGGCGATGGAAACGGCGCTGAAGCTGGTTGGCATTTACCTAATGGAGGTGGCAAGCTTTAAGAATTTAAGCGGTAGTTCAATAAACCCGCATGCCAAACAATGGCCATGGCCAGGACTATGCAATTGTTCAATTGATGCGCGACAAACATGCAAAGTGCTTAAACAACAAAGGAACTACAATGTGCGGCAATTAAAATGCATACAAAATTATTTTATTATTAGAAGTAATGCTAAATAACGACAATTGTCGCTACAAATGCAACTGCAACCCTCCAGCGATGCTGCCCGCACGTCGTGTCCAAAATGGGACATATTTCGATCCGAAATAGATGCGATTATACGCAGGGATATCCTGGTACAGTTGTGCCACCTGAACGCAGGCCTCAACAGTGCACAGTCTCTTGTCAGCGAGTACCTGTATCAATGTCAGGCACTGAAACGACGTCCTCGCCAGCCAATACCCAAAACCCAGCAGCCCAACATATGTGCCTGCTCTAGGAGGGGGCGGTTAACTAATGTGTGTCTGTCCGTCCGTCCGTCCGCCCGTCTGGCTGTCTGTCTGTCCTGCGCGCAGCCATGTAATTTGTTATCCAACAATTTATAATTGCATCAAAATACACACGCACCACATGCCAAGCTGAGGCTAAGCTGAGATGACTATTTCGAAAAATTATTATGAAAGCAAACATGCTTCTATTTTCTGGGACGATTCACGACTTGTGCCGGCAATGGGCAGCCCTCGCGCAGCCCCCCCTTCTTGCAACTGTCCAATACAATTTTATGCTATGTTTAACATTTTGTACATTTTTCGGTTCGCCCATGTTGTGGTTGCCCTTGTTGTTGGTCTTGTTATTTCTGCTGGTTCTAATTTAATTTTGGACTGACTTGTTGGTGTTGGTTTTCACTTTTAGTTGATTTATGAATTTTTAAATCAATTTGACAACTAGCTCGAAAGTCAAAGTGCACATTAGGAATAAAAGTTGTTGGAGGTGTGCTGGGCATAAACTTTTTCGATTTTAAGAGTTATCAAGCCAAAGCCAATTTTGTTATTATTTTGTACACTCAAACATTTCTCAGTTTATATGTTTCCCATGAACAGCTCTCTTTAAAAAATTGGCAAAAATTGTGCTGCAACTGCAACTGTTTCTGTTTGTTATGCTTTTTGACGTTTACACGTTTTGACAGGCATTAAAAATCTATTTAAAATGCACCCCTAGCTTTTGTATAGTTTTTATTTTATTTTTTTTTAATTTTTGCTCAATGACGAATCCCCGAAATAACAAACACAAAACAATTCACTTAACTCCGGAACTTAGGCGCTACTTAAAAATTTGAAATCAAATTGAAAAGCGAGCATCAAATAATTTCGAGGCGTGACGAAACATGTCGAAATGTAAAACTTGGTACCCGCCGCCTCTGATCGACAGCAACTTGTGCGGAAACCCGCGGCCGGGACGCGTGTGTCTCTCTGGCTGGTGTACACGTTTTTCTACTCGCTGCGCTGGCGGCTGCCGTTTTTTTGTGTTTGACGTATTACTCAATGGACGTGGAGTGGGGAGTGGGTGTGGGAGCGACATGCCTTTGGCTATGCCTGCCACAACTAGCCCACCCCCGGCTCACACGGCGACGTCATCAATCTAAAAAATGTTGAAAAATCTCAGTGGCTGTTGCAGTGGCATGAGACACGGGATGAACCAGCGACGGCGGCGGCTCGACAGGCTGCATAGTTGGTAGTTGGTATTTTAAAATGCATGTTAAATGTCCATGCCTTTCGCTTTTCAACTGGATTTTGATAGAGTGGCGGCGCTTCGAAGTATTTCATGGGAAAGTGTTATAATTCAAATGATTCGGGCATTCATTGTAATTGATTTTTATACGTTGGGCGTAGGGCATGCAGCTCAAATTTATTTTTCTTTGTCGATAAATCCTAAAGTTATTAAACTAATATACGAGAGTTGATGAGGCTGAGATTGAGAGAACCTGCGGAGGGCGATATGCATACCGATAAGCAGCAAGCAATAAGTAAATGAATCATTTTAATCATTCTATTTAATCAAATCTACTCTATTATGGATTATCAATGGAAATCATGTCAACAATGGAAATAGGACCCTACTCTTCCCGTCGTTGGCTCCGTTTACGTCGCCCAGCAAAACTAATTACAAAACAGAACCACAAAGCAAGGATTCCGTTTCGCCAAAATGATTTTGCTAGAACCAAAAACTGAATCCAGCAGTCAACAGGCAGGAGTAAACGCTGCTTTTGTCAACCGGGAAAAGGCAAAGGCAACTGCCAAACCAACAAAACCACTCGACATGTCAACTGAAATAGAAATGGAGATGCAAATTTGCGGAGTCAGAGGCTGGGTCCAACTTTTTGGCATTGCTCCTGGAGTGACATGAAAAGGACATGTCACACCGTATGCGCACATTAAGTGTAGCCACAATTTATCAAGCCGCATAAATCTAAATAGAGTCTGGGAGAGTTGGCAGTCGCCTGAATTTGACTTCGGCATGGGCGCATCAAAAAGTCAAAAAGCTAATTTGCATTTAAAAGGACAGCAAAGGCAACGCAACAGACCAACAATGATGCTGACGTAGCCGCCATCGCAACCAACCATCGCCTGGCCATGCATTCAAAATATTTTAAGCCATATTTTCAATTTAATAAGCCAAGATAAATGAAGGGCAACAGCAGAGAAGTGGACCACAGGCGGGAAAAGAGCAAAAATATATATATTTTGCAATGTAGATTTAAGCACACTCTGACTTGGCATATGTGTCCCGTGCTCATGTGCTTATTTGCATAGTTTGGTTAGCTTGGCTATTTTTGTCAATATGCCATGCACTTCATCAAACGAGACTCTGGGCTCTGTGCTCAGTCGATAAGACGTCTTTTGTGCTGTTGTTCAGCCAACTCTTTGGTGGCTTATACCAAAAATGAGATAAGTTAAATTACTTTACATATTTAGACACATTTTATGCGACATACTTCAAATTGAATTTGCTCAGATAACAAAAATAAGCCGCCCGGGAATTCACAGTATTATCCAACAAAATTAAGGCACTCTTTGTTTTGAACTGTTTTTAAAAGATTGAGATTCCGTGTACTCGACTTGTCAGCTAAACACTGTTGTTACGTTTATTCATGTATTCCTGCTACTCCAATAACAGCTGAATGACTGTGCATAGCCTGGACAGTGAAATTAGCCCATAATCAAATAAGTTAACGAACACTAACCAACTGACAATTGATGCATATAATTGCACTTGCCAGCAAATTCAACAATTGGCAAAATTTTCAAACCTTATTACGTTACAAGACATGCGACGACTTTATTTGTTTGCTGGCGTTGTCAAATTACAATCTCAGTATTGCAGGAGTAGTCAAGAGTTGGAATGAGTTGGACTGAGTTGGGCCTTAAGTCCTAGCCAAGCTTGCGGTCGCAACTGAAATGCAATGGTGCGTGCCACAAATGACAGCCAATAGAGCAGAAAGCACAACTCAAGTGGCCACAGGACACAGTCCATAAGAAAATCGCTGAGGCGTAAAGTAATTTTGTAGGCGTCGCCCAAGACAGACACTCAGCCGGTCAGGCAGGACCTTTACAGCGTCAGGGAGCAGGCAATTTGATTTTTCAATCGCTGCTAATTAGCATTGAGGCCAAAACCATTGACAATTTGTCAACCATGGCCAGCAATTTCGTCCGTTTGCAGTTGCATAATAACTGTGATAATCACACCGATGACAACGATAATTTGCACACTCGTGGCCAGTTACTGCGATTTGGTCAGCAAATTATTCATGAATGGTGCCAGCTCTTCTCTTCTATATAAACACATTCCCAATATTGCTTTAAGGTTGAAAACCAACATTTTAGGGTTAAACTCTGCTAGCCAAGTTGGCAGACTGCAAGCCTATTAACATTAACAACTCGGCTTTTTGCCACTGCACGCCCTGCTGTCAACTTTTGATACCTTTGTAGAAAGTATTTTAATTTTGTCTTGAAATGTGTAACGCATAGGAGAAGACATCTTCGCGCCCATAAAGTATATAGACCCAATGTATTAACAGACGAGTTGATATTATGCAGTTCCTAGATTCATCGGACTATAATGTCATATAGATTAACGGGAAGAATCGTTGGCAAATTAGTTTTTGTATGGAAATCGGTAATTACGAACGTTACACAATTCTCCTGAAATATCTGCACATCCATTAGCAATGTGTCTACAGTGTATTTCAGCTTCGGCGTGACGAAGATCGTCATTTTTTATTTGCTTTTTCTACACTTCTTTTTGCGCCGTGCTTTGCCTTAGCTTCTTCCTGCTTTCCGCCTGCTGCCTGCAACGCTGCAAATGACAGCTGTCAGTGGCATTTCACAATAAGCTGCCAGGAGTAACTGCTGTCAAACTGACAGCCTGTTGCTTGACTTTGCTTTAGCCTGCGGCAACTCTTTTTCAACGGACAATCGATTTTGCAATCTTTCGGCACTATATCTCTGCTGACATCTTGGTCGAATCAGGTGGAGGGGTATACGTATATTTTTCACACTTTCCCATGCATAAATGCCTACACTCGTCGTTTATGCAGCGCGTTGAATTGTGAAGTCTTTTTTTCTTCTTTTATTGGCACAATGCCATGCTGTTGCAGCTCTAATTTCTGCTCCCACTTTTATGTGGGGTCGGTCCCCCATGAAACACAATGCCAAGTGCGAATGCAACAAATGTCATTAAAAACGTGACATAAAAAAATATTTTATACTTGCATCTATTGCAGAACTTAGTTCTCTTCATGTGCATGCATTTATTATACCCTGTTACCATAAAGTGGGTCAAGAGGGGTGTTTTGGCCTTGGGCAAATGTGAATAACAGACAGGACTTAAGTTATTTATATGTAGGTACAAATTCTTGACCGGCCCTTTAGATGTCAGATCGCGCTCCATGAGAAAGCGTTAGTATGAAAATGTATTATCTCCTTATAGGATATATCCTAGGCGAGCACTCATCATTTAAAGCATTCTTGTGTAATGTATTTGGTTTCCTTCTGCACATTTTATACAGCAGCTTCGCGAATATAAAATAAAAGCGCAAATGGTATTTCGCATGCGTTTTGAGGTTGAGGTTTCGAGCTGAGGTTGAATGACCTAGGACAATAGATTTATGCTTGGGGTAGTTACAGCTG